TATTCACACATTGTGGTTCCTGCAATCCACTTAAAAACTAAGTGTTTGATGACGATACTCGTCAGGAAATAGTGATGTCATCAAACACTTAATTTTAAAGAAATTGCAGAAACGACAGACACCTGATTGAAAATTGGAATGGTACAAATTCATGCCCTGATAAAAGTTTCAGAAAACTTCTTTAATACAATCCCTTTAAGTACCGTAATATTAAAACTTGCTTCAAATAAAGCCTCAAGATTGCAACTTGCAAGGTCTTAAATTTCTGTGATTTTTTTTCTGGGGTGCGTTTGTTAAATGAACAATTCTACCACTAGTGATTTTTATTTTAATTTGTAAATTTTAACCTCTGAAGATCCAAGATATTATTGACCATACCATAATTGTCTCATGAACCTAGTCTGTTTTATAAAACACTTACATTTCTTTGTGAGTCGATTCATATTTTTAAGAGGTTAATATCCAGTACTTTCCTACAGCACCAACATGCTCTCAGTTTCTTTGTCTTACTCAGATATAGCCAGTTCCTCTGACGTGATATTCAGATGGGATATCAGAATTGGGTTTAGGGCCAGCCATATAATGATGATTTGGATAACTTGGATAAAGATTTGAAAAGCGAGTTTTCAACACAAGTATACCATTGATAAACCAAGCTTCATAGCTACAGAAATATGTCCAATTATAGAGTGGAACATTACCTACAGGGCATTTTATACACCAGTTACAAGACACAGTACCACATGACAGAAAAAATACAAAATACCACATGACGCAACCTCAACACGACAATTTCTATTTATTCGACATAGAGATTCTTCAGCAATATTTTATAGCCGTGTCATGTTGTGTAGTACTGAACTGTGTTTTGTTGTCAGATATTAAAAGATTCATTCTATGTGTCTCTCAAAACCTTATAGTTAACCTTTCGTACAAAGATTAATATTATAGCATGCTTTCATTTATTTCCAATGTATTTCTTCCGAAGTATAGCCCAAGTTATAGCTACATTTCAATATTTATGTTGAGCAATATTGTTGAATCTTTTTCGTTATAGTCTGTTCTTCCCATTTGAGAATTTTGTATTTTCTAACTATGACTGTTTCATTTTATTTATGGTAATTTCATTTCATTGTGGAGATTTCTTCCCCAAAAAAAATTCAGCATTCCAATTCTTTTCAGACCTCGGTGATGAACAGGGCCATTGAAAATTTCAAAAGTTTGTTAAATGTAGCATTTGTTATTGGAATTTTAAAATCCATTTTGATCAGTTTTCTGTATTTTTAAGTGAATTATGGAGTTAACGTGGTTATTTTATTTGTGGGCTTGGCTTATTGCTTTAAATTAAAGGATTTCATTTTTCATTTATGCAAAGCTTTCTGTTTTTTGTTTGAAATTTGTTAATGATATCATGCAAAGTTTGCTATTTTTCAACCACAGGTCTGACTTGAAAAACCTGTTATAGAGGGTTAAAACTCCATCTATTTGATGGGTAGAATTATGAGGTTTTTGAGAAGGAGAGGTCAAAAGTCGCATTTGCAAAAATGCATGTACGAATTTTCTAGGATTGTCATAAAAAAAGATAAGAAACTAATTCTTAAATTTCAAAAAAGTCACAAATAAAAAATGAATTCACATTATTGATAAAAAATAAAACCAAGAGTTTGGTATTACATTGGTTAAATATTAGTTGACAAACCTGGTTACAGAATGGCACCAGGTGATGTCATCCTGAACTTTGACCTCCCTCTTCCAGTGTTGTTAGTTCTTAGTTAAGGTATTGTAGATTCAATACGCCATATTTAATTTCAATTCAATATCTCTCAATTTTGTAATTATTTATTTCAATGTTATATTAGTGATGCTTGGGTCAACTTTCAAATGCAGGATCAGCTTGGATTAGGTCAAATGCTCTTAAAAAAAACATAGATTATATTAATGACTGCATTAAATAGTTCGCACATTTTAAGTTTGCAACAAGGAAACAATACAAAATTAATGTTGTCTTTGATCATTTGAGAAATAACCTGTGTGATTGTACCTTTATTTGTGGATTTGGAACATGAATAAGAAGATTCAGAATTTGGAAGGTTGACCTAAGCTATATGTTATAAGGTATTTTCAATATTGTTGCCGTGTTGCCATTATATTTGTTGTTTTATTAAGACATAGTAAAACTTGTAGATCAAGTCAGATCTTTAAAGGAAATGTCAAGCCTAATTCTATACAATGTCAAGCTATTAAGAACTGTGTCTTATACCTTGACTACAATAGCCACCATTCTTGTATCACAGAAGTTGGTAAATGCAGTAATTTGATTGGATTGTACGCTAGTGAATAAGTCAATCAGAGCTGACGTCTGTAAACAATTAGCTGATTGGCTGTATTCGCTAGAATACAATCTAATCAAATCGCTGTATTTCGTGATATGGGAATAGTGGCTATTGCAGATTTTCACTAGCAGAAAAAAATGGTGGTCATCGTGATTTTCAAGATATGACAGTGTGTTATATGAGATTATATATATTATATGATTATGTCATGATATAATAAAGCAAACCTGATCAGAATTAAGCTTTACATTTCCTTATCATTCTATATGTAAATATTTATTTTTCTTGAAATGCTCAAATTCAACATATTTTTATACCAAAAAATAATAACTTCCACATTTTACCAAATTTGCTGAATCATTTTTGCCATATTTATAAGTAGTCTTGAACAACATTGCCTTAATATTTTCAGATGGGTGCTATCATTGTAGATTTTTAATAATTATAATGTAAATTAGACCTTAATATTTGTGGTAAACCAATACCATTATGAATTAGTATATTGCAATACATGATTTACCATATATGTATCTTATCAAAACCTCCATAGATTTTTTTTAAGTAAAAATTTAAATAATCCTAGTTAAATAAATTGATTAAACCTAGTCTAGATTTATCATGTTAATCAACATTTAAAGATTCTTTGTAAATATCATTTTTCTCCTATCTGTTTTTTTTTTACAGTAATAAAACTTAAAGCAATAAAATTGATGACTTTTTAATTATTCAATATTAGAGTGGAGAGACTTACATTAATAGTGAGTTGTATTGAAAACTACTCAGGGTAATCAGTTGAAATTGATAGTGAGTTGTATTAAAACTACTCAGGGTAATCAGAAGAAATTAATAGTGAGTTGTATTGAAAACTACTCAGTAATCAGTTAATATTAATAGTGAGTTGTATTGAACACTACTCCGTAATCAGTTAAAATTGATAGTGAGTTGTATTGAAAACTACGGTAATCAGTTGAAATTGATAATGAGTTGTATTGAAAACTACTCAGGTTAATCAGTTGAAATTAATAGTGAGTTGTATTGAAAACTACTCGGGGTAATCTGTTGAAATTGATAGTGAGTTGTATTGAAAACTACCCGAGAGTAATCAATCGATAAAAGAATACAGCTCAGTAATCTTAATCTACCAATGATAAGAAAACCGGTAGTGAGTTGTATTGAAAACTACCCAGTAATCAGTTGAAATTGATAGTGAGTTGTATTGAAAACTCTCAGTGTAAGCAGTTGAAATTGATAGTGAGTTGTATTGAAAACTACGGTAATCAGTTGAAATTGATAGTGAGTTGTATTGACTACCATGTAAGTGATGTTTGTGTTAAATCGTTTAAAGAATTCGATGTGAAAGTAGTTGAAGGGAGACAACTCTTGTTAAGCCTTCAGCTGACGACGAGGAAATTTTCTGCAGCAAAATCAGTCGTTCAAAATGTCGTCTTATCTCGCGAGGTTTCACCCATGTCAACATGTAAACAATATGGCCGACTTCTCTCGAAATTTATTGTCGTCCAGCTAAATTTGTGATTTTGAATGGAAAAAAAGTAAGAACATATTTCATACATTAAATTTTTCTATTAATATTGAATTGTGACACATACTGAAAAACACATTTTAACAAAATAATGGTCATTTCAAGGTTGTAAGATCAAGTAAGGAGAGAATGACTGTGGTGGGGGTGGGGAACTTTTTAGTCAGGGAAGATATTTCATCTGCTAATCGATATGCATCGAGAAAAATATGCCAGCCATTTGTTCTTTGTCAGCTAATACTAATTTAAAAAACTGATGCTTAATTTTGATAAATAATATACTTTCTGAGTAGATCTATTTGTATTCCCACTTTGCAACACTGCCCTCGAACCCTAATGAGCTCAGAATTGAATTTTTTCATTTTTTTTCTTGTTATCTCACAAAAATAATAATGAAATTTTCAATCACATGCTATTTGTCTAAGTACATGACTGAATATCTTTTAATCTGGAGATCTGATAAAGATAAATTAACCATTTGCATTTTATATTTGATTTAGTTTTTTCATTGGTTTGAATTTTATATTTGTAGGATTCTTGTAGAAGTTGACATCATGCCAGGAATAGAAAAGGATATCTACCCTAGTAGTAGAGGTCAAGGTGCTGGTTTCAGACATGGTCCGAGTCGACATGTTCAGATAATGTTAAGAGAAGAGTTAAATAATGTTGCTCAGAGATCTGTGGATAATATTATTGCTAATAAAGAAGCTGAAAAGCTTGTGCCTTTAACAGAGGAAGAGGCATTATCAAGGTTAGTTTATTTTATAGCACAATGTTAGACCTTTATCGAAGGTCCAAGAGTTCAACTGGGCATAGGTCAAGACTTTTCAACCCAGTTTCCCCCTGATTTAAGTCAGAGGGACTGACATGGAAAAGGCGACTAGTTGTTCTCAGGAGAGAATAAACCAAGGTCCCATGGTACTACAGGCTGTGCATGTTACAGATCTTGATAGTTCGAAATCTAAAAAGAAAGATAGGTTAATGCTGCCATCCTTGCAAAATGTCCCTCATTGCACTCTGCGTGGTGTTGCCTGTCTGCATTAGATCATACGGTGCAGAAAAGTAGGATGTAAAACTCATTTTATTGGATGTTTAAGCATGTGAAGAGATTCAATTCTTGTTTTCATGATCCTTAATGATAGATACTGTATTTCATTCTGGGATATAAGCTTATTCCTCTAAATATTTGTATTTCTATATAAGTTCAAATTCAGCTATCTGTTTCACTTTTAGGTATCAAAAGTTCACAACTTGTAC